GAAGAAAAACACTTAAAATTTCAAGTGATTTAGATTTGTAGAAAAAAATTAAAATTCAAACACTACTTGACATCCGTGATCATCAGATCGGCCGAGATTTAATATGGGTTGTTGGCGCATTTAGCTTATCTGTTGACCATATTATATATATATACGGGAAATGCTAGTGTGGGCTCACTATCTTACATCAATATATGGGTCGATCCAATGATCACAATTGCATTTCGTATGTTACCCTATATGAAAAAACGAAAAAAAAAAAAAAAAACCAACACCACACTTTCTATACAACTTACTCCCGACCTAACATTTTCTCTCACTAACAAATTTTCTATACAAATACCCCCCAAGGAAAATGTTCATTTTTGTTTAGACAAAAATGCCCTTTCCATACTCAAAAATCATTTTTGGTCAGATTTGCTCTTGACTTTTGGAGCCCATAGCACATGGCCGGAGCGCACTATCGACCCTTTACAGAAACTTTAAGTGCCGGACCGCCCAAAAACAACTACTAGACCCTTTACAGAAACTTAAGTGCTGGACCGCCCTAAGACAACTAAGTGCCGGACCGCCCTAAGACAACTACCAGACCTAAGTACTACCGGACCTCCCTGAAATCCAGTAATATCTACTGCCGGACCGCCCTTCACAACTTCCAAACCGCAAACATCTACTACTAGAGCGCCCTGAAATCCAGTAACATCTACGGTCAGACTGCAGCTCTGAATCTAGTAACATCTACTGCCAGACCACCCTTCGCAACTTCTGTGGGACCGCCCTTTACAGAGTGTTCTACCACCGATCCGCTCTGAAATCTTGTAACATCTACTGCCGGACTGCCCTTCACAACTTCTGTTGGACTGCCCTTTACAGAGTATTCTACCGCCGGGCCGTTGGACCGCCCTTTACAAAGTGTTCTACTGCTGGGCCGCATTTACACAGTATCGGAGCCTATTTAGGTGAGATAGAGGAAAGAGAGCCGTGGGTAAGGTAAAAGCAAAAAATGGTAATTTAGGCATTTTTTTATTCTTATTTTGGTTAGAGGGTATTTGTATAGAAAGTGTATTTTGAGGAAAAAGTGAGAAAAAAAGTTAAGTTGAGTATAAGTTGCATAGAAAGTGTAGTCCTGAGTTATTTTGTAATTTTCCCTATGAAAAAAGTGGTTTACATAAGAGACTCAATTAAAAAAAAAAGAAAAAAAAAGAAAGAAAGAAAATTAACATAGGATTCAAATATCTCTTTTAGACAAGCTAGCTTTACCTTCTTTAGAATTTTTAGCTTTATAAATTAAATATAAATCCATATAGTCATATAGTAATTCATTTAGTCATTCCAAAATCTTAAATTTAGTATATAGCATGCTCTTGCTGGAGAATAATGTACAACTACCTCCGATAGAGAAAGAGTTCTTTTGGAAAAAAAAAATTGAAATTATTGAGATATGCTTAAGAATTTCTAAATAATTATTTAAAAAGAAAAATTAAATTCCCATATGTTAGACACATAGATCTAACTGCTGAAAAATTGGAAGGTCCTTGTTCAATCTCTTGACGACAGCATTTTGGAGAACATACAAACTGTTTGAATATTTTTCCGTAAGTTTAAGACATCACATCCCTAGGTTGGGTTTTACACGAGGAAACAAATGAATAGTATTCCCAGGTTCGATCTTAAAATATAGTGAAACTTCTCTTCTTGACTGAAAAATGGAATTGACAACGTGGAAGTCTTGCCAACATTAAAAGTTTAGGAATAGAATGGTGATACCATCTTCAGAAGGGATGGGAACAGATGTTACCTGATATAAAAATGTATTCTACATTATCATTTTCCGTGGCAAATTTCTCTCTCCTTAACACATGATGTGCAAATCTCTCTCTCTCATCCTTGCAGCGGAAAGCCCATTGGTCCTGGCACTGAAGAGCACCACTCTTCCCTGAAAAGAGAGCAAGGCAGGGCCACATTTCCGGCGGAAGTAAATCCACATGAATGCTGCATTTTTTGCACAAATCTCTCTCTCTCTCTGTGCCAGGTTACCGTCCTGTTAATGCGTAATTAATTCTAAATCCCCGGAATTCAATACAATCATGTATCCAACATAATAATTTCAAAGAAAAAAAATATCATTTACAAGATCATAGGCATCTACAAAATCACTAATAAACCTCACAAAAACATTAAAGGGGTTCAAAATATCCCGATTACTATTAGAGGATTTATTTTTTGAATGTCATTTCATCCGAGTCCTTCCTCAAATAAATCCTAAAAAAACAATCAAATTACTATTGTTCGAGGTCCTAATTTGGTGATTTGAACGACCTAAAAGGCCCCAACCTAACAATTCAATTATCACTGCTTGTTTAGGGCTGCTCACACTATTGAAATGCCTCTACTTTCATAGTTCTTACCTGGCAATTTATGTATTTTTTAAAGGATTATTTTGATAGGGTATCTAAGTGAAATGAAAATTAAAAAGTAAACCTCTTAATGTTTGAATGTTAGCAAGATCTTTTCACCCATTAATGATTTTATAAGAGTTTGCAAGGGTTGACCCCTCGAATGATATTTTTCCTTTAAAATGGAAAAACAGTAGCCCCTCATCAAAGTTACGCAGCAGATTTGAAGCATAAAAAGGAATTCACTTTGGAGTAAAAAAAAATTTCTTTTTATCTTTTTTTTTTTTAAGAGTACTTTGCAGCAGAATTGAAACATTAAAAGGTATTCTAAAGGGATTTACAATGAGGAAAATGCAATCACAAATATGTCAGGCTCAGAAATGATCTCAAACAAATTAGCAATAGACATAATCAAGAATGTCATTGCACTTCCCAAACTTCAGCCGAGCCTAGCTTCCCTCGTGAGCACCTAAGACATATTTAGCAGTGCAAAAGGAAACAATAAGAAACATTACCTGATTGTTCTCTTGGGACAGTGAGTAGAAAAAATAAAATTGAGCATCAAAATTAGTAATCCTTGGATAAAGACTTTTGAGCTTCTTACCTCTTCTGCAAATTTTATCAATATAGTTGTCCTAGGTCGTTGTTGCCCCTCCATTGGCACAAAGTGAGCAGATACAGTAGCTGGAAAACCTGCACTGTCCAGGACACCCTACAAGGCAAATGGACTATTATTTTAGATACACCTTAGTATTGAGGAAATAAGCGCAGTTAGGTCCACTGATATCCTCGATTTAAATCATGGTTCTAGCAGTAATTGATGAAATAAAATTCATGGTGATTACCCTAACGATGCCAGCAACAAATGCCCCACAATTGAATGTCCCCATGTCCTTGGGAATCGAAATAAATCTACAAGGAAACCATATTAGTATAAACTCCATTTAACTGACAATAATGCAGATACTGAAAAATCTTTGCTTCGAGAAAAAATGAGCTGAAAAGTGGAAAGTCTGAAGAATAGAAATGTTCACCTGTTCACCAAGAGCTCTTTCTCACTGATCATGTATTCATCTTCATGTTCTGTGCCTTTCTCAAGGGAATCGGCCACCTATGTCATTCAACCCTGGCTACATAAGATCTACATAATATGCACAGTAAATATTGCAGAGTACTGACATTCTCATTAGTAATGATGAACGGTTAAGATATCCCATTATGGAACACACACGTATGCATGCACACACTATAAATATAGCTATGGAACTGAATCCAGCTTCATGCTGCTTCTAGCCACTCCCTAAGATAATATAATTACCCAAAAGACATTAGCAATTGGTGGAGCAACAATCATCAGGTAGCCAACACATCAACACTTATCGCAAGAAAATAAGTGATGCAATAAACATAATAGACCGCCATAGACCATATAAAACTATCCTCTTCATAAATTGCAATAACTTTTTGTCAGCTTTTTGGTGGACCTATTCAGGGTAATGCAAACCTTAACCATTTAACCAAAATGATAAATAAGTTAGTGTTACCAAAATCATTTTGGATCCTGCTTCAGAAACATATAGACAGATTTCAAACCTCCAATAGCAGAGAAAGTCAACAAATAGAATAATACTTCTTATCATGGTTCTGGAAGCAATAACACCATTGTACCATCATCATCATCAAAGCCTTTCCCAACTACTTGGGGTCGGCTACACAAATCTTGGTCTACCATTCTGTTCTATTAAAGGTCATACCCTCAGTGAGGCCATAAGTTCCCATATCTTTATTTACTACTTCCAACCATATCCTTTTGGGCCTGCCCCTTGCCCTTTTGAGTCTTCCACTTGAACTAACTCGCACCTCCTAACAGGTATGATACTGGGTCTGTGCAGCACATAGCTAAGCCACCTAAATCTACTTTCTCTCATCTCATCGTCCATTGGTGACACACCTAAATTCACCCCAATGTATTCATTTTGAATTCTATCCCTTCTTGTCTTGCCACTCACCCATCTCAACATCCTCATCTCAACTACACTCGTTTTATGGGTATATTATCTCTTGACTGCAGAGCATTCTGCCCCATAAAGCAAAGTTGG